CAGCCGGGGCAAAGGGCCAGCAGCTGGAGCCAGATGATGTCAGGAACATCGTTGTTCCTGTTGCCAAAAGTATGGACTAAGTTTGAAGGGGAGACCCGGCTCATATAGCGCCTAGCTTTCAACTTTTCTAACCGAAACTCGGCAAAAGCTAGCTACGATACTTAGCTGGTCTTTCGGAACACACAGCAGACTGTACAACGCTTGAAGTCCGCTGGAACTCATGGGCGTGAGACCCCACTTCCGTTTCAGAAGTCTCCCGTACACCCGCGCGCCCTGAATATCAAAGGTGCGCGCCAGTGCTGGCAAACGGAAATGACGTCACCGTTGCGACGCGCGAGTGCTGCGGAGACACTATCGCCAGTGGCCGCCCTGGAGATGTAAACGGTACTAGCAAAAATTCTCAACACCTTGGTACACATGGCCTTCTCATCTAGTGAATTTTGATCTGTTAGTCGGCGAACGATCCTCCGACATCAGTGAATGCGGGTACAGTACGATTAGTGGGGAAAAGTGTATGTGCATGGCCTGGGGAAACGTGTGTGTACGTGCCGCATGCCAATTGTAATGCATCTCGTGTCTAATCAAATACCGCATATATACATTATTACACGCTAATGCCACCGTATGGGGTGAATATAAAGGGGTATAAGACAAGCGAGCAGCAGGAGGCCTCGATGCATTCGTTTTCCACTATACAGTGCTACGGAGATGCGAGACGAGTGCTAAGGGAGGATGTGGGGGTAGCAGTAGCGGCGGTTATCTTAGTTCAATATCATTTCACAGCCCCTCCGTGGTGTGGTGCTTCTTGCAGTGATAATATTTCCCTGTCGCACGCGGCCCGAGCCATCCATGTTTAGTTATCAGCGGGCCGCTACCCCAGGCCTAGGTTGTCCGGGACGCGGTCCGGAGTTGCCTACTTCCGGCATCACTTCCGCTGTCGAGTGGATTTGCTCTCGCAGGCTCCTTTAGTGAGACTGCTAGCCAGCTGTTCGGTTCGTTTTGTTAGTTGGTTAGGGGATAAGGTTTTAGGGCCTAGCGGTCATAAGACAGTTCGTGTACACAGTCAGTTCACTAGTAATGCACTACAGAATACCGTATACGACAAGGTCATATACGTGTAGCATGCCTGTTTACTTTTGTGTGCTACAACAGATATCCGAACATACATACACATGTGGGTACGGCCGTGTATGTTAATACGTATCGTATGGTGGCAAGGCAAACGCTCGCATAAGTCAGGAACCGATGCGTTTGGGGGAGCGGAGGGGTGTTTTGAGGTATAGTATTTCACTGGATCGGAGGGGAAGTCTGCGGTCCCTCGACAAAACGAATAAAATAATAGGGACAGAGAGAAAAAAAAGATCGCAAAGGTTTATTAGAATACAACGTTTCTATTGTGTGTTCTCCGGCTCGTAATCGATCAGTATCGATTGACTAGCTTTAATCGCCTGATAAAAACTGATAACATGATGCATCGTAACATTAAGGTAACTTGAGTTGTTTTGTTAATACTTGTGGTAAAACGTGCGGTGCGTTCTCGTAAATCCGCTTACTGCGCGGTTTATTGCGATCTTATTTCTCGTTACTGTTATAATGATTGATCTTATATATTCTATATACATCGAGAGATGGCGCAGCGGCTGATTGCCCTTTCCATCCTGTATAGTCGACATATTAAATCTTTCAGAGTGGGTCGCTCAGGCCTGGACAATTGAACTAATTGAAATTATTTATATTTAAAAAAAGAAAACGTTTAGCACAACTCAAGGCGTAAGAGATATCATTCGTTTATAGGTAAACAAACGCGATACCAGTTCGTAGCATATTCTTCGCATATATATGACACGCGCAAAAATTAGGCTATATATATATATATAAAGGCCCTAATAAATAAATATAGTAAGACATCTTATAATAGGGAAAGCGTTGTTATTAATGTCGAGAAATACTTCGAAACTATTGAAATCACTTAGGAAGTCTTTTGAACCATTTGATTTGTCCTTTATTTGTCGTCCACTTATTATTTGCAAATATTAAGCGTTTGTAAATAATAAGCGTATTGACGTTTGATCTTACTGAGAGTTGAGTATATTCGTCGGTAAAGCGAAAAATTCCAAAAAGCAATTTTATTAAGGAAATACTTAATAATAAAGCAAAGAGTTCAATTGTATCGTGATATTTCTATTATTTAGAAGTGTTTTTGTGCACTAATGTACATGTGTAACGTCACTGTGTGATAACTATACAAAAGTTGGGATAGCTTCATGAATTTACTTTGAGAGTAAGTAATTAGGTATCTTGCAATTGAACGTCTACTCCAACCCATGAATATAAGAGAAAGAAAAAACAAATCAACATTAGAGCTAATGTTTACTGGCAAGATCGTCTGCCTAATGGCAGAGGATATCATACCTACGGCAACACTAAAACGGTACGACTATATTAGCAGAGGTGACCCGAGTATCAGCCTATTCACATGTGTGCTCCACATGTTTGTGACGCGCTCCATCGAGTGATATTAGATGGACCCGAACTGGGCTACCGTTCGGTCATCTCAGTCGCGACGTTCCGTGATGTTAGGAAGACATCGCTTGACACAACGATGTTAACAAAATTTGTATTGGGGCCTAACATAGCCCCGCTGGGCGGACCTAGTACGCCTCGCAAGCCCAGCAGTCGAAAGAAACACTGAACTACGGCAGAAGCGCTCCATTCCACTAGAATTGATAGTGGCAGCACCAGTAGCACAATCTCAAATGTGTCGCCTTGTTGCAACTACACGCAAAAAAAACTTTACGAATCTAAGTTAGCACCGACTAACTGCTGATTAAAACAGAAGTTAAGACAGGTCAGGATTTGTGCTGTTTCTTTGAGTGTACAACAAAAAAGTGGATTCAATATGAACTAATCGTCGTAATCGTGGCAAACCTCGCTTGCGCATTGAAGCTCATAGATCTATATGTTTTTGGAATAATGTGTTGAATAGAGCTTTGTTTGTGTTGAAGCTACCTTAAGTAGATGTTAATATTGGTATGTGTAGGCAAATATAAACATGCGGATCTATACGAAACAGCCATAGGAAACAGTTGACCCGAAGGAGAGAGGATTTGGGTGTATATCCAAAAAAAATATCTATTGCGCACACGTAGTCGTCTCAAGTAGCACTTAAAAGCTGAACCGGACACAAATTTATCTACTCACACTAGACACTAGCCATAGGCTACGAGAGAGACCACTTTCTATATGAAAATACCTATGATGACATGGTGCTTTGCGGTAATCACTACAAACAACTAGACTAGATTTCAAACGCTACTTTATATACTTACGCTTAATTAAAACTAAAAAAAAATTTAGTCTATGAAAGGAGTACTACCAATCTAAGCGTGCTCTAATAGATTTTATCTGAGCTTAAGCCTTCATCAGACGTGATCCCTAGCTGAATAGCATTTAGTGAAGATAATCCAGCAAGATTAGTGTTATCTCGCATTCTAAATGACGAGATTTAAGATGGCTTTGCGGGACGTCTCATTATCGAACATTATTGTTATTACTACTTTGCCTAATATCACACTGAGCATCACTTGTGTCTACTCCGGAGATGATAATTGCGTACGGAGTTACCCTTTTCAACTCAGATACATTAGCTAATGATTACGAACGTAATTGTCTACCAGTAATTAAAGTAGCGTGAAACGAAATGCACGCACTCTTTCGGCGGTGACACTAGCGTGAATGGTAACCAGGAACGACTGCAAGAACGCTACTCGATGCCCTTTCCGATCTTCACTGTTCTTGTGCTTCCAAATAGGCTTTATAGTTTGACGCCTTTACTGCTCGTTAAATCAAATTCCTACGAAGCGCCTTCACTAACACTCAACCATCACTTTGTTCTTCTTCTTTGTTTGCCTTTATTGATAATCAAGTTCGAATAGCAAGAGCTTCTAGTCTAACCGATGACTGATCAGGCCAGCCGTCGCACTTCTTCCACTTGTCCCAGAGGAACAGCAGCAGCGTCAACAACAGCAAAAATTATCACGGCCTGACGCCATAAGCCAACGCAGGACATTTGATGCCCCAGGCACGCAGATAGAGACTTGATCGAACGAACTAGTCATTCCATTCGACTCTATCCTTTCCTGCCTTGAGTTCCGTCCTATTCTACGGTGGCCGGTGGGATTCCGATCGAGCAGGCAAGTGAGCGAACAACGTTGACGTCCTCCTCTTACGTCTACGGGTAATTCTGCGTTGCTGTCAGCTACGCGCATGCGTCCAGATTACGTCTAATTCGACGGGAGTTGTTACGCCGACCGGTGGCCCATCAGGAACGCGTGGTGGGTTAGCAACGTTCCCAGTAACGTGACGGATAAAATCCATAGAGGGACTTGATGAACTATGCGATGGACAGAGCGACAGATCCAGGATCATGATGGCGCCGCCGACGGCGCCCCTAGCGCTCTTTTCCAGTCAAACGCCACCTGCTTTTTCGTTCGACTATTGCTTCTACATTTGCTTGCATTTCAATCGCCAACCCAACCGACTTCGACAACAATAGCAGCTGCAAAATAATACAGAAAGATAAAAATTGTAATGTACTCGATTTGACAGCGTTCGGGAGAGCTCACGCCGAAGTTGTGCTGCGAAGTAGCATAGAGTAGATGGTGCTGTGTGTTGTAGCCGTGAAGTTGTGAGAAAAAAGCGGATTCTTTTTACTGAAGAAAAAATTGTGGTATTGACAAAGTTTGTGCAGATTTTTAACAGAGGAAGCTGATGGCGATCAGCGTGCAGCCACAGAAAGCGGCTATTTTGATCCTGTCTAAAACAGTGACAAGAAGTTAACAGCGTGGACAGTTTTTTCTCTTCTGACTGTCTCTGATCGTTACGAGTAAATAGGTGCCACCCTTGAACATAATAATAAACATCGCGTCGCTTGTCCCGCTAGAAATCTTGCATATCGCCTGTACCATCCCTAACACCTCTACAATTTTCGAAAAGATGTATTTTGCACGGAATTGAACGTTTGTCCATTGTGACATCGCTGAAGAAGCTGCTGTCCTGTCAGGTGAAGCAAGATGGAAAAGGATATTAAGGTATAGCAAGAATAGGTTTGATTGGAATACAACTTCTAGGCCTAACAACAGACATACAGCCGCAGGACCCGCTTTTAGCTATATGTCAACATCAATGCAAAGTTATAACAACATTAAGATAGGAAAGACATAGGTGTTATTGGACATTCGATCATTTTTACGTATTCTAGTTCTTGTCACTGCCCTATTCTACGTTATATTTGAAATATCCAATATTACATTTAACCAGAATGTTGTTTACCGTTAGGTTGTCTGCTTCGCATTGCCTAACAACCATTATCAATGAAGCCCTTACGCGTATCTTGTGGTGCTAAAATTCACTGATAATATTTTGGTTATAAATAAGACTTTGGCTCTAGCCAGATGTATGTTTTTGACATGTTTAATTGTGCCTTTCGATGTAGTGCATGCGTTTCCTGCTTGCTCGATGTGGTTTCCAAGCGTAACAACGAAGTATATATACAACGACACAAAGATATTTATTATCGAATTTCTATATCTGTCTAGAGTGCTCATGTCTAGTTAACTTATAATGGCGCCAAAACAACTATGTTTCCTCTATATCTTGCTGATTGTTCGTAGAGTATGGTTCTTACGTTCTTAACAAGAACACCGTTAACTAACGGTTCCAATTGACAATGAAAATTGAAAAAATAAATAAGATTCATTGCCGATTTCTAATGTACAGCATGTTTAGTTAAAGTTCAATGATGTTTGAATATGAACCATTGTTCATATTTCATCAAGGACATAGGTCCCGATATTTGTTTCAGGCTTCTCGACAACTTCTACGTCATGACACAACTTGTACCGATTAATTTTTCCGTATCCAATGTCAGCAAAGCCTTTTACTCACTCTATTACCTACAGCTCTAATTGAATGACTTTATTAATATGTCTTTACAAATGTTTGGCAACCCTTTAGATCGATGCAGACGAGAAGTACGGTCCCCTGAATCCTACGCCAGCTGTAACGGCCAACGTTGAAACCCCAGGATATGAGGTGTTTTATGGAGAAATCGCTCGAGAGAGAGTTTCCGAGGTAATCTTCCTTTTAAAAATTTCTAGTTGACACAATTTCATCGCAAGTCTATTCAGTTGAAGAATCCGACAGCTTACTGCTTAGGTCGGATAAAATAAAACACTACGATTTCGGTAAAACGGGAGTTATGGATGGGGTTAAGCTATGGGAAGGCGGGTCTATTTCAACAGGAGTGTACTCGTGCAGCTTAACGGAATATGCCTCAATAATGTATTAAACTACACAAAAAAGGAACAAATTCAGTTTATAGAACGCCTGTAGACCAATGATAAATGCACCTTGATTTTGTAAAAAAAAATCCACATACATTTGTGCAGTAGTATACTCAGCGTACTGGTATGTGTTTTCTATGCTAACGAGAATTAATTAATGTATGCCATACGAACGAACACTACAGAAACTGAGCTAGCAAGCAACGCTTCGCTTGAAACATTTTTACTATATTTGTAAATGTTTGCATGTAAAAAATGTTTGCAGGCAGCCAAAACCTTTTTGGGACCACGCTAGGACGACTGTCTATTTTCGGCAATTGCCTGCAATTTGGATAGCATCCTATAAGCTTCTATGTACCCATAAACTCATTGAATTGTCGTTAGAAATACAATTAGCGAACAGGTCACTGTCAAAAAAACGCCGCAGCCTTCCGTTACACGCAGGACAAAAAGCGTCATACGAATTATGCAATTATGGAAGTTCGCTTAAAAGAGCTGTATATTTTATTTACATCTAGAATGGCAGACAAGAAAAATCGGCTGTCGTAACTCTATTACCAGGCTTCTATAAGCTGTATCCGGTCCCATCAGCTTCTTCATATCGGCAAAATAAACAAAGATAATGGTGTCGTTATCTGATTCTATCAGAAATATTAAAATTAAGTAAATAATCAGCGAAGTCTGATTAATATTAAATCAATCAATGCGACGCACGCCAGTCTCATCTTGGATAAAGTGCTACCACCTTGACCCGAGACCTAGCACACATATTGTGCAATACAGCCGACATTTCAGTTGTCAGCTAGGTATAGTGATTGGCCAAGTGGCAAAACAAAGGTGATTCCTCTTCGATGGTCAAAAGTTTGGCCTTGTGCCGTGTGCGGTGTAGTGTGTGTGTGTGTGTGTGTGTGTTTCTGACGATAAGCGGTACGAGCTGTTCTCGGCCAAAAGCGGGCCGTGTCCGATGCATGTATATGTGTCTGGGGCCATTCAAATTTAGCCAATCTTACCTTATTTGCTGTTCACTAGTGCTGATGATGACTGAATCCATTATTGAAGACTATGACACTAGTACTATATATTTACGATCATTTTAGCCTATCACACTTATATGTCTATAATGGTGAAGAGCACAAAACAAGTTTAGCGACAGCTACTGTTTCAGGTTACAACCAACGGCGCTTCTAATTGTTTGGGGGCAAGCGACGTGGACGGTAATCTCGCACCACCTTCACGAAATACGGGAACTCACGAACTAGTAGAACTTAAAGCAGCCAGGTTATGGCCACCTGCTATGGGTGACATCGATACTCATGTTGTACCCGGGTATCACAGAGATGCTGCCGTAGGCAATGGCGCTGGCCTTAATAACTCCACCACATATAATAGGTAAGGCGCAATTCCAGGTTATTATTATTAGTCCTTTTCATTAGGTACGGTTCTGTACTCCCTGTTATTTGCTTCTCACCATGTTTTTCAATATAATAGGCACCTGTTCCGCACGTTTGTAGAGCGGGTACTTGGTTTTATGTAAAATATTATACCTTTTAGTTCTAAAATTTAAAACTCTTCTAAATTCAATTCAATTACTGCTATTTAACCGGCAGACTCTGATAGCAGCGTCAACATGTGAGCGCTAGAGGCGTTGTGTATCCTACGAAATGCCATCCACTGTTAACTCGTTTATCCGTGCAGAAAGGAATCGCTTTGATGGCAATTTTTTATCTTTGAAAAAACATCCGAAGGTCCACCAGTAGCGGCTGACCTTGGGTAGAACTGGATGCTGGGCTTTCGATCGCTGTAGTTATTTTTATCCCTAGCACAATCAGTCTGTGGACTGGGTCCGTTTTGCCTGCCACCTGCGCTAGATCGCCGCAATCCGATATTCTATTTGTTGCATAGTTGAGTTTTAGCCTATTTTTTTTTGTTCTGTTTTTTAATGAAAAAATCCAGGAAGAGTTGCAAAAAACCTTTGCCATTTAGATATGCGAGTTTTGGATTATGTTCGTTGACATAGATTAATATCGTAGAGTTCATTTCGAAGTATTTGGAGCCAAACATATTAACGTTTTTAGATATAGTTCGGCCATGAAAGCTTAACAGAGATCCGCCTGGCCACTGAAAACTGTCAAACGTTCGTTTAACATTGTTTCGTGCTATTTATCTTCTACTGGAATGACAAGACCGTGTGGCTTAAAGCCCGCCATATTCAATTTTTGGCATTGTTTTTTTGGTCAAATACAAATTAAATGGCGAATAAAGAGTACAAGACTGTATAAATATTGTGAAAAGGAAACCCATAGCTGAAATGTTTAAATCATTTCTAAACCATCATACATCTACAATATATTGATATGATGCGATGTGATTACATGATAAATACATTTGATTATATATAAGTTCGGCACATCTTGCAGCGACACCCGTAGCATTAAGGCAAGCGCACTCGATTACCGTCTAGTCAAAGGGACTGAAACCCCTAGAAGCATTGAAGAACGAACGAGTGACAGTTTTGTTTTTCCGTGCGCGGTACGATTCGAGTAACGCTTAGACGTTGAAGATCTGTGTGCACGAGTGACCAGAAGCAGGCGATGGTGCCACAGAGACCCAGCGGGTTAGAGCGCCCCCGCTTCGAGGACCACCGCGCGAACAGTAAATAGATCTACGGCGGTCGGGTCTTTCAACATGGCAATGTAGTATTAAATACGGGTTCGCCTGTTTGCCCGTTCAGTAGAGGCCAGGTCAACTAGATTTAGCTGAAATAGGCATAAATATAAACATACGCTATGGATGCCTATAAGCAAACAAAGCATAGACGATAAAATATCTGTACGCGGTTTATAGTTTGGCTTGAACTTAATAGATCTAATAGGATGACAGAAGGTAATGGCTACGCGGTTTGTGTTATTTTCATTAAAATTTGTTTGCCATGCAGTTAATTACGAAGGCAGAACTTTGGCGATGTCTTGATGAGCGTATATCTGCGTTAGTCTAACGCTGGTCGTGTCTTCGATTCGGTCCTCAACTGACTGCCGAGTCTCACTTAAAGAAATCCTTTTGCTTTAATATGTATATATAAATACATATTTGATCAGGATTGAATACATTTTTATTGCCACGAGGTGCTACAGTGGTTTCTATGTGAGTACATTGTGATCTTTTCTTATTCAGGGATTCGTACTGTCGTCTGCTGCGGTTCCACCGGTCGGATCTCGGTAACAATACAATAATTCTGACAGTTTTATTAGTTATCTGGACATAAGAGAGGCTGCCTCGAATAGTACGAGTTCAACGCTTCATTCCTTTATAATGGTTGAACAAAATAACATACTGCATCTTAACTATATTGTAGGTGTCCAAATCATTTAGTTCCTCTACAACATGTAATAAACCCAGTACTTGATTAAACCTTAGTGTGATAAATATTTCGACCTATCAGTTATACTGGGATGGGTCCTTGCTCGATCGGCACCCATTAGAATCGCTGTCAGATCTTTCAACAAGGCTATACTTACCACAAGGACAGAATGAACGGCGATAATGACAAGGCAAGTTGATTTTCCAAAAGTCAACTTACTACATATAGAATATGATAAGTTTTTCCAAGAAACAATTAAGATAAAATAGCATTTATCTTACCCTTTGTAAGCTGCAAGAACGCGAAAAATTAACGAACTAGAACAAGGAATATTGGATCAGATGAGTACCGTCTTGCCAATAGCACTTTTCCCTTTCCGTTTTTTTCTTCTTACTTGAACTACTGAAATTGCCCCGCCTCCCGGGCGCAACACTCCCCGTAACTAAAGAGATATTACAGTTACCTGCTGTTTTCGTCTATTACAATGACAGCGCGTTTAAGGTACCTGGCACAGGCGTATTCACCGGGCGTGTGTCCATACATGTTTTTTTTTTTTTGCGTCGCATGTTGAATAATGCTGTTTATATATGGGCAAACGCTAGCTCGATGGACTTTTAACTGGGTCGAGACTATTGCGTATTAATTGTCCGTTCGCTTGTTGTTCATCAATTGAGCTTTTCGGTAGCCAGATATTTACTCAGTCTGTCAATATTCCGCGTCGGGCTTCAAAGTTATGTAGCTAGCGACGAATTGGGTCGTATGCGGATCAATTTTAACGGCGGCTATGCATTGATTTTCCGCATGAATAATGCCGTTTTGATGATTTAGCTAAAATAGCTTTGCCCAGCCCGACGTAAACAGGAATGGGAAACTACATAGTCAAGGTACGCACAAGGTACGATTTATTTAAACTTGTAGCAGTTTCTTTTCGCTTCTATTGGCGAAAATTTGAAGTTAGCTGAAGAAATAATGTATTTTGCTCTCAGATAGAGCTAGATATACGGTTCGTTTTCGACGTATTCTCTGTTTTCACATCGAAAACCCATTTATCTTGGTGTAGTCATTGATGTGATAGCGCTTTAACTAGATTTCAGTTTATAATAATAATAATACGGATAGGTCTCTACACAGAAGCTTACCGTTCTCGCAAAAAAAAAAGCAGCGCGTCACGTAGCAGATGGCATCGCATCGGACCAAACGGTTGGGAACCGAAATTATCGGGTACTTTCTCTTCTTCCAATAAATAGTGGTTTATTGGAACAACTCAGTGCGGATCCGCAATTACATTACATTTTTAGATCTTCAGATAGATAGAAACATTTCTACATGGCTAACAGTTGGGAAGAAGGATTTGAAACGTGAAGAACATATGGAAAAAGAAATGTTGCATTTCCGAATAGGGTAATTTTTTTAGCTGATTTTTAACTGATACCGAGAGCAGGCGATGCAAGAAAATATGCTGTATATTTTGCAATGATAGCGCCACAGCATAAGTTAATCGACGTTCTAAACGTTCATAGGTGGTGAAGATGTTGTTTTCGTATAAACAGTTTGTTGATTGATACGACTTTGCGATATCAGTTTATCATCTTCATGTGCGGCCATTAGGGCTGGTTGTCAAACCGAAAGCTCTAACAGCCAATCAGCATGAGATATACACAAATAACGACATCGATACTTCCATCTTTACGTGAGTCACAATCGAATTATCCGTGTTGTTGGTCTTCTCAATTTTTATTACATAATCTATTGTCGTACGTCTACTGAGGTGTTGCTTATTCAACTTCGTTTTGAGGGAAGCTACATAGCTTCCATTCTACATTTCTATAGCTTGCAGCGTATGATAGCCGGAGCGCACCAAATAATAACAGTGTCGTAGCGTATGCTTCTGATACTACAGAAATTCTGTGAATTAAATGTTAAACCAATCATGTATACCTACATGTCATAATAATAAGAAAATGACGCTGTGGACTAATCACGGATGACGTACCATCGTTTCTAATAACTACAAGTAACCACTGTCTACAAGCAAGTTCTACAAAAAAAAAAAAAAAGCTGAATATAGCTAAATTTCGCTAAACGATGAAGACTGAAGCTAATTGTTGTGATGCCTATCTTTAGCTTATCGTAGCGTCCGTCTCGTCAAGCAATAGGCAAAGACGCAGAGCATCAAACACAGCGGCCGATTCGAACTTTCCGTATTTTCTATTAGCATATATCGGAACTAAAAACCTGCCAAGTCATCAACAGCTTAGAGCAGCAAGCCGACTCAGATTAAACGGTCTCTAAGCTCCGGGAAACGTTCGTCGTAAAGGAAAGTCTCCGAATTACCGTATTATATTTATATGCAATCGTCGTTGGTTCGTTTAGCTAACGTAACTAAGAGTCGCTATTGCGCAACGCAGGACAGTTTTGTTCGTGAGAAACGAAACGGTAAATAGGACGGCGGGCGTCGTTGTGTATAGCGTGCGTTAGAAGAACAAACCTATCGCAAACGTGACTCCATTTGTCTATAATAACTAAATCTAGAAGGTCTTACATGAATGAAATCCACAGGAAGATTTGCTTGCCAGAACTTTACCTATGAACTCGTTTAAAATCGTTACGTCAGGCTATCTATTAGCGCACTTTGTGAAGAACGTACTATTTACAGGGCCTTAGCAGCACAATGAGAGCGGTTCAAGGGCAGTTCACGCCGTTGTAAGAACACCATTCTCCACGAGGCTTCTAGACGCATTAGCGAACACTGGCTGAACGCCTGCTGTGTGTGTTTCTTTGCGTCTGTTTATTCAAATAAAGCTAGTAGCCACAATCCACTCCGTAGATATAGCTCCTTCACTGCAAACCGCTACCAATCATGTCGTATGCGTGGCTACTTTTCGAGAACCGGATCACAAAAACACATCAATGTATACATTTACGTGTGTGTGTGGCAATGATAAATTGATGAAGGCACGAGATTAAATCATCGTCTGACCGATAGTGTGATTACACACGAAAAAAGATCCCACAGTCAGTGATTCCCCCGATACGTAGCGACAGTATTGGTAACGAAAACGGCTGTCCTCGGGTCCGTGGTCCCCAGATCGCAGCCGATGATAAGAACTGTTGTCTGATGCATCGAATGCGACGCCGCCATGACAAGCAAGCTTCATCATATTATGGAACAAAAAGAGATTACACCCAAATAATAATAACTCGACTTGGTTAGCCTTTTGGAGACGGCTTCAGCGACGATAACGTTCCGTTGCCATGAAGACTCGGTCGGCTGCCTGATACAACATGGATAGTAAAAGGCACCTGTCACCTTCGAAAAGGATAAAAAAACAAATAGCCTATCGATTCGAACACGGTTCGTCCTCGTCGTCGCCGTCAGCAGCGCTTCTCCCTAAATGATTTGTCACTATCACCGAAATTGGCGAAGTATCGTCAACAGGCGTGCGCGGAAGGCAAAGCAAAAGCTATAGGGAAAACTAACGAAGTAACCCGCTTTGTTAACACTGATGCCTTTTGTCTGGTGTACGAACCTCGCCCATCTGTAGATGGCAAGCGACTCTTGTCTAATATGCAGCATATGACTGAAAATGTACTGTCTATGGGACTTCATTTGTGTCCTGAGTAGGCCTCTGTCGCTTGTTGCTGTCATCTACATCGGACATATGTTGGACCATATTCGAGGCAAAAGACCTAACTTTTAGTAAACTCCTAGTCTTCCATTCCCGTGTTGCCAACGGAACTTGATGATACCAGTCGTTTTCCTTTTAACGCGTATGCTATTCTGTTTGGAAGCACGAGTTATTCAATTCCGTCTCGTTGCGCTTTATTCAATCAGCTGGCCCTGATTGTTGCCAGTTTAGCTGAACTGCCAAGACCTCCGTTTTTGTAACTCTCCGTTTGACCTCCGTTGCAGTAATATAAATAATATTCGCAGCGTATCACATGCCCCCACAAAATGAGGCTCTCATTCTCAACCTAGTTTATCATGATGAGCAAACACGTGTAATTACTGTCGATGTGCACATTGTTATTAAGTAATTTTCGTCCCAGTTTATGCCTACCGTTGTGTCACTGGTTGTTAACAAGTACTAAAATATACTATACCAAATAACACTATATACAATGTCGGGATGGTTAGCAAACAACTTTATCAAGAGTCTGAAGCCTCGAGGAGAGCATGCGTAGATCGTCATAGATGAACCTGACCAGTGTGAAGTGTCACAGTGTGCTTTTATGTGAAGATCAGAACGCACCGCGGATATAGCTTCTGCTTGGCTAGTTAGTTAGGTACGTGACGCGGCTTTTGGGCGCATCGTTGAAAACAGAACAGGTACAGCTAGACATAGGATAGCTACTATAGAAAACGTATACAAAGATTCGTCTATCGCCGGGCGACGCCACTGGCGGATGCAGCGACTCTGTGCGCACCTCCTTTTGGCTCTGTCAGCGACAGCGATCGTCTGCTTCAATTGTAGGCAGTCTGCCGTTTGACTCCAATCGGGGTCGGGCAGAAAAAGTCGGTCGGCCGACCGGCCGAACGCGCGCTTCTGGGAGACCTTGTCAGATATATCTTCGCGTTTGAAGGGAAGAACGCACATTGCTATCCTCGAAGTAGCTGGCCAGTCCTTTCTTTCTTTCGTTCGTTCAGATGAAATCTGAAGTCGCCCGCTTACCTTTGATTTAATGGGGAGAAGAGCAGGCAGCGCTGCATGGCCGTAGTCGTCGACCAAATCATTGAAAACGAGTCGAACGGCGGAGGGAGTGTTTGGCGCGAATTATGCCACCACCAGTCAAGCTCGCGTTTACTCGTGTTCGTGTTATCCTTTGGCATTCATGCTCTGTGGCAGCCCTCACGTAGGTTTTTTACTGCCTGAAGATCTGGTCACAGAGAAACAGATATATAGTAGATTCTGTAGGAAGCATAAATGAAGACACGCTAGACGCCTGAAGACGTCCAACAACTACTCTAGTCATAGGACGGCTAAAAATCATGGCCAGTAACCGTTTCAGAAAAAGGGGAGCTTCAAGCGGAAAAAACGATCGAGAACAATAGGGAAGCAGACTGGCTTAGGATCGGGATCACGAAGTTGATGCTTGAGACTGTCCGTACGCAAAAGATCCGACAAGGTGGCTGTTAACGTGAGAGACACAAACGCGAGTGATCGAGAGGGCCACCTATTTGAGTCGAGGGTCTGGATGGTGTTGGTCGATGTTTCCCTTTAGTGCTGTCTCAACTCCATCAGCGGTAGCGAAAGCGACGTTGGTATTTCTAAATGGTTTCTACCCGAGTCTATTATACTTCATGCGCTTCTTCTGTTATTCCCTGCGAACTTCCATCCAGATTGAACCCTGAGAAGTTTTATTCTATCATAGCATATCTGCTATGTCACTAAAAACGCTTTGCATGAATCTTTGGCGGAAGAAAAAATTATAAATGATAACATTATAAGCACAGAATGATTTGTTTGTGAGTCTGTGCTTGATATGCGAGCATATCGGGCTTATATCTGTTTACAAGCACGTAGCAGCATTCGATGATTTTTTCAGTACTGTGACATTAGAAAGGACTAGCTAAGTTTACGTCGCTCTTCTGTTGACTAAAAAGATATTGGCACATTTTATTGACGAGCTTGAGAGCGAGGAAGACCTGCGGCTGGCGTCGAAAAAAAGGGAACGTATTAGATACGGTGTCGCTGAAGTTGCTCAAATTTTACATTTAGAACATGCCATCATCCTTTGCCGCCAGGAACTCAGTCACTTACGCTATATACACATACTGCCACAAATAGGCTAAGTCATGTTACTGGCGAAGCTGATGATATATTTATTATCTCGATAATCATGAAGGAAGCTATAAGGGCATTCTGCCATATGAACTAATTTTATCTATCGTTGTATTCAGTCAACTAATGGTGGCTAACATGCATGATTTCTTGCGGAAAAAAGGTGTGACTATCCTTCAGCTAGGCGCGTAACGGAACCTTCTACGCATAAGACGTACGCGATTCTATCTGCAAGTGAACCTTTCCAGGCGCAAACAGGACCCGATGAATGCAGCCATTTTGTAAATCTGGCCTCTGCAGGAAGTATTCCGGCAGGAAGAGACCAGTATAGGCTGCAGGAAAGCAAAACTCTGAGTGAGTCTCGACGTGGTGAAGCACTTCGAGATGAACGGCTTGTTTACTTGAATGGTCATTCTGCCATTTTACTCCAAAGTCAGGCCGCATTGAAGGATTCGAATGGGCACCTTCAACATCAACAACACACTAGCAGCAGCGGCGGCCTATCAGACCATGGAACGCCTGTCGTAATTGTTGATCAGTCAAGTCAGGTAAGCTGAAAATCAAGTGTAGGCTTGCATGGCCTAGTGGTGCAAAATTGAAACATGCGCTTCTATATAGGTTGAAAAAGCGAGTTCCAACACAGTGATGAATTTCGTGCGATAGGCTGACAATATGGGGACATCTTTATTTTCAGCCAAGAAAAGCTACTGAAGGAATCCTAATATGGCTATAATAATAATAATAATTTCTGCTATGAAAAATATGCTCTCAGTGTGCTGGCGTAACAACATCTAAGATCAGTTAGCTGCAACGACGCATCATTAGCATAGTTCACTCGCTAGAATCGCCGCAACCGGTGCCTGTTTTGAGAACTATGTATGTTATATTACCAAAGAGATGTTGAAGAAACTTAAATTGAAATAGACTATCGCCATAATGCAACATAGAATCTAGCCAGCCAGCCAGCTATGGATTGCCAGCTGTACAAGAACAGGCTTGTAGTGAGGAATATTTAGACCAAGCTGAGATCATGTAATAGTCTTGTGATAATTACGATTCATTTATCATACTTATTTCAGTCGTCTGCATACTCGAGCGATTACGAGCAACAGGTGAAAAGGCGCAGATTTCGCGTCAGAAGTAAGTAACAGCTTGCTACGTTCTATTACCATTGCTATGATAGTTAACAAAAACTATACTTAATTTGTCAAAGTCAAAAGGGGTCCAGTTGCTTTGTTCTCTGTACAAAGCTAAATCAATGTCAGCAATGATGCTATCATAAAAAGAAGTTAAACTTAAATACTGCATGTTACATTTAAATGGCCTTCGAGTTTATACATTTGGTCGTCTGTTACAAGGAGTCGATTTCTTATTGCTTGGAGACCGTGTAGGCGGTTACTGCGGGGGTCGAAGCAAATTCTTAGACAGCAGAGTGAGTAGAACACAGCAGGTCCTTTTGCTGCAACGACTTTGTAGTAATTGAAGAAGTATAATTGAAAAACGTATTTCTGATGATCGGGTTATTTCGGTCTGCGCTTTAGCGGCCAACGCAGTGGACACAACTGTCCACAAAAACTTCAGGAATAAGTGTAAAGAGAAACTTTCCAAGAACAACGAAGCTAGAACAAGATTAGATCTGCGTCATTTGCTCGAGAGTTCTTTCAAGCACGAAGCGGTATATTGTTTTTGGTTCTTTAGCGGCTAAAAATTATTTGTCGCGGTCGGAATAATCACTTACTGTTCTTATCGGGAAGACCATCCGGTTTCTGGCTAAAATCACAATTATCGTTAGCATTCGCGATGTGTTCAATGAAGGAGATACCATGCCGGCGTATTCCTTTCAGGGGGCTAGATCCGTTGTCAAGTAGGTTTATTTGCATGTTTTGCGGTAAAGCAGCGGTTAACTACCGTGCCAAATCTGATGGCAAACATCTTTTAACAGGACCGCGCGCTCTTTCATAGTAACAAATTAGTGCAGATCCAACAGTACTTGTCGGCATGTTCTGGGATTCAAGCACACGGCCGGGATATAGATCCGTAGGGTTACTACTGGTGATACGAGAGCTTTACAAATTCCGACACGGAAGCCTCGGCTCTTCCACGGTCGTGATTACTACGAAAGTGTCGGGTATAAGCATAAGTCACGATCGAGCCAATTTAAACAATGACGATGCCCGTCAGGGATATCTGTGACGGCTCGTGCAATAGATTGAATCTGAGTGTATTGGATTTCACTTTGATGCAGCTCATATATAGGCAACATTAATTTTGCTCCTGTACGAATAATATGGAACTACGCTAACTTTGTACACAAGTTCATAAGTTTAAAAGTAACAGCAGTCATGGTCTTAATTACACATATTAATATCTTGCCTAGATGACGTTAGCATGCATTTGCTTTAGTCTCTGCCGCACAACGTTGCCGGTCTAGATGTAGAAATAAAAATTCTAATTGCCACTGAAAAGATGTCAGATTTGCTCTCTAAATTGGCGACATAGAAGCGACGAATGAAGGAGCGCAAATCACCAAGTGAGCACCGGCTCCCTTTTCCAAACTGTACCTAGGTACCAGTATATTCCCTTAACATAATTTACGATCGACTTGTGATCAGTTATTCTTTGCGTTCAACCTTTAGACCTCTCTAAGGACGCTAGCTTTGGTAGCCTTCACACTCACTATTGACAGACCGCCTTCAACAAGAACAGCTAAGTAGGAGTTGGTCCTCGATAGAAAAGCAGCGGACATCTTGGTCCATGCTACGTTTGGCTCTCGGCTAGGACGCCAACTAAACGTGTTCTAAAGATACGCGATCTGTAGCTCCCAACGCTAAAGAGGCACGCGTACAGATACTCTAGAGCGAAAAAAATTCAGACATAACCTTCTGTCAAGTCTGTTGCCGCATTTGAACGAAACAACGATATTAGCAGCAAAGGAAGCTTGAAATGGATACTCCGGTCAAACAGAGTCACAAGTTTTCCTGGTTGATACCATCTCGATTCGACGGTTTACTTCTTGAGCATCTGCTTAATTTCGTTATTTCGAAACAAATAATTTCATTACATTTACGTAACATAAAAAAGATGCTCGAGTTCTCTTAGCAGCAATTTAGCTCAGTCGGCCGCACCGTTCTGCTTATTTGATCTAAGACGGTAAACATTATTCTTTAGGCTGAGATGTTTTGCACCGTAATACTGACGGTCTAAAGATATATACTGTTTAGGTTTATTAATAGCTCCTTTCTTTTTGCTACTAATTATCCTCTGATTGCACGGTTAACTCAAACGCCCAAAAAAAAAGCTACGAACCGAATGGGTGCTTTGCTATATGGCTATATTTAGATATAAATATGAACGTAAGATTATCTAGCTTCTATTCCCCACACAGCTAACTAAGCTCATTCAACCTTTTTGAGGTTACTATTTAACAGCATGACGCTCCACCTTAAATTGCCATTAACTTTTCGCATAGGCCTAATACGTAGTACGAAAGTTTAATCTTCTTTATTTTTAGCCCACATCGCTTCCCAACATAAAATTCTGACCTATTTGTCCCCTCAGAGTATTGTACTATTACAATTACCGACTGCTGATGAACAGTGAAGTTACGGGGTTAGGTAACCAAGCACTTGCACTTGTCTGACACATTGGTACAGATCGCGCGAAGGAGCTCACCCGATGGTAATTTAGCTATTTTGACTTAGCGTCGGTGTTGTCTCCTGCAAGACAAAGCGGATCAGTTGGAATCCGCGAGACATCTTGCAAGTTTCGATCCCCTCTTCCATGCCGAACACCTGACCCCAATTCCAAAACTTAGCTGGAGGACACGTTGAATGGGGAGAATGAAAGGGTATTCGAAAGTAGTCTTTGGGCAAGTAGTCAGAAGGGAAAGGGAACTAGAGATAGAATTTGGGGCAACAAAATGTGTGGTAAAGTAGCATTCCGTCGGCAATGCCGAGCCCACGGCCCGCTGAACTGTGCGCACGGCAATATCCTCCATACTGCCCAAACGTTGCCCTCTTCAGACGTAGCAAGACGATAGCCTAACAACGACTTCAGCAATTGCAGAGACGGTACAATACTATATCAATGGTATTGGTCTTAGCAAGAGTCGTTCGGAGGCTTAAGGCCGACTCAACTACTGCTGCTACCGATCTTCTCTGCCGCCAATCGTCCTCCAACGGACGCCGGTGCCTTTTCTCACTCCTGTCAGCCGCTTTTGCTTGTCCGATGGTAATCTTGTTAGGGGCTGCAAAGCGGTAGCAGCGAGCGACGTTAGCTGCTAAGAGCCGCCGAGCCAGTGCGCCCTGCTTCGCGATCCCTTTTCGCTGCTTTCTTGCTTCATTCAGCTTAACGAACAGAGTCGTAAGTGTGTCCACTCTCTTCTTAGCGTCCCCCCCCCCCTTTGTTCCCTGTTTATCTTCATTGGCCCCCCGCCGTTAATTCGCTCGCGCTTTTGCTGTGTCTGCCAAATGCGAAACTAGACTGCCTCTCTCTCGCACTTTTTTTGCGACCGGCGTTCTCCTCATTCGCCGATCTAAGCTAAGTCGACAGACTGACGAACGGACAGAAGTACGCCAGTTCCATCGTCTCAGGCTTTGGCTTGGGCTCATGAGTTGGAAACGAGAGCCCGCAAGCGAACAGCAACTTTTGACATTAATTTTGAGCTGATCACTACATTACTTAGGATGGAAGCACGACCGATTCGATATCACTGATACACACATACAGGCACGCACGCACGCACGCACGCACAACTTTGGTATAATCGTGTACACAGAAGCACACGATCGTGCGAGGAGCTCACTCCTACTCAGACAGACTGGCCCATACAAAGTATATAGTGCTGCGTATGTGGCCTAAAGTTTTGCCTTAGATTTGGCCTGAAACTCCCGAAATATCCTCAACCCCTTCATCCCTCCTTCGGCCTCAGCGATACTCGCTGTGCTTAGAATTGGGCAGAGCCTATTGGCTTTTTTTTTCTATGCCCCTCGCCACTCCTCGAACCCGCATCACGCCTCCTGATATCTATCTCGGGCTCAACCGCCATCTCTAGTGCTTAATCGCGTTTCTCTATTCCTTAGCTGCTGCTAGACCGCTGTTGGCCTGAAACATCGTAGTGGCAGGCCTAGCTGCGGCAGCGGTAGCAACAATCGGTGCACCGTCAGCATATTGCAGTGCTAAGCGGCGAATAGGATCGCGACGCTAGCGAATCGGAGGAGCTTGAGCGGAAAGCGAACGAACCACCGTCGAGTGCAACGTAACTAGCACAAACACACCGATGGTGGTGATCTGGCAGGAACCTCGGCCAGTCTCCGTTCACACACCCTGTTTCACCCTCTAACCTATACCAGGATCAAACAGCTAGCGACGATAAAGATAGGACACGATGGCAGACTCACAGGCCAGCGCTGCAGCAGCGCGAAACGGAATAGGATATTATTACCTGTATAATATTAGATTCGAAATGTTCTGTGACCTAAGGATGTGCTACATTCACAACGTAATGTGGCCTGTGCCAATCGAGTTAGGCAGGGAAGACTTGGCGGATCAGCAAAGTTCAAAAATAATTTTCTAGTGTAATTGGATTTTTCGGTAGATCCGATAGGCAACAAATGACATTTTTGACAATAATCATACTTCTTTCCCCTTAGCTCCGCCTCTGCAAACCTTGTTGTTGTATAGTAAAGATCCTATTGAGTCGATAAAAAAAATAGCTTACTTTTTATCCACTGGAATATTTACTGGCTGCTTTATTTGTTTGCAATACTAAATATTCGATGATTGTTGAGTTAATTTGTAAAGCTAACTTTGGTTAGAAGTGCGTGCTTGTGTAAGCATGAACGATAAAGGACGTCTCCTATCCTTGTCTAAACAGATTAGGGGGTGCCTGTTGACCAAGTTCCGGGCTATTCAGCTTATCGATGAGTTAGCCGTGTTGACGAGTGCTCACATGTCTATAGACTAGATTGTTCACTCACAAACCCAGCGTTATGGTTAGGTGTCGTAACCCATCATATATATGAGCAGGCACAGATACTCATGAATACGTGGCTCGAAGCAATGCTCGGATTGGACAAAATTACCTGCCCAGTATCGTGGTCTAGTTTGGCAACCGATGAATGAGACGTTTCTTTGAGCGC